ACAACATAAAAATAACACGTCTGGCTCAGCCGATAGATATACTATATACTTCATTGGCAGCATATTCAGTAATGATTTCTCACACAGCAAATATCACTGACTTTATATACATGCAGACCAATACACATAATCATCCAGATGCGATCTTGCTATTCAACGACTTTCTTCTCAGAGATAAAAACTACCGACAAGGACCATTTGGCCTCACAGAACATATGCAAACCAATAAAGCGTTTAATTACTTGAGTGATTCCTCCTTAGATGGACGTTGACAACGATTCTAGTGAGCAAACGTGGAATGACTGTTTGCGTCCTAAAAGCTGCGTAGTTTGCAAGTTGACATCGTATAGGTTTTTTTTGACGTTTTATAGGTTTTTGGTACGCCATGCCGGGCGTATGTACGCCGGCTCTCTCTTCTCAGGTAGCAGCCGACACGAATAGTCTACCGTAGTCCGTAGTACTGAAGTACCCGCTTGTAGCAAGTAAGGGGTGAGTTTTCGTGTAAAGGGTGTTCTGTTCAACCAGTGCGTTCCGATTTAGTGAGATAGTGGTAATTCTGTTAACTTAAAGTGAAGTATTTTGAGGTTCTGGATTTACTTTTTGGAAATTTTGCTTGCCGTGTAGATCCTAATCCAAACCTGAGACAGATTTTATGTTTCTGACTGACTCGTTCTTTAGTCATAGAAATTGTGGTGTACCGTTTTTAGTGACTATTTTCGAAGTACGAATTTTGAACAGAGTTGTTTATCCGATTTTTGAATTTTGGCTGAAGTATCTTGCTGAAAAAAAATAACATTAATTTAGATTTTGAGAAGCCTTTAGAACAAAGCGTTTATGATTGAGTTTACCAGCCTTCGCGAAGTTTCTATTGAGATTTCTTGAATTGTTTTGCAAATACGAGGGTTATTTGAAATATTTTGACCATTCCGTATAGTCTAGTTCTATACTCGTTCTGCTACGTTTCCTTAGTAAACAAATAGGGTTTGCTACTAAGGCTGTCTATACCGTGATACAATTGTGATTTAACCGGCACTAGGTAGCTAGTGTGTGAATTGCTTCGATTTCAAATTGAAGGATAGATATTTAAGGCTGGGACTGGCGTAAGTGAGATATTTCTGAATAGTCTTTGTCTTAATTAATTTTGATATCTGCGTTGGACTTGGTCTAAGCCTTATGTTGGCCCTAGTGAACTTCGACTGGTGAAACAAGAAACAAATCTTACCTTATACCGACAGAATTACGAACCGCACCAGCCCGTTTGGTCTATAGCTCTTACTTTGGGTACTTTGAGATTTGACTTGTGTCAAGTAGGGTAGACTCTGAGCGTCTGAGTTCGTTAATTGCGGTAGTCTGGGGCCTCCATTTTCCAAAGCTCTTTATTGAAAATTATTGCGTTTTTCCTAACGCCCTTAGTCTTCCGTGATCCTAGCTGCTTCCTATTGTGGGCAACCAGGAGCTACCTTAGCTGCTGATGCCCCTGATTTGCTTGTTTTGAGTTTCAGCTGGTATCAAGAAGGCAGGACAGGTCTCTGTGTCTGTTACTGTTTTGTGTGCGTCTTGGAGAAACAAAGTTTGGAAAAATACGTTGAGTTTTATTTGATTTATTCATCCGACTGGTGATTCGACATACCCGACCGCATCTACAAGGCAATATTCTCAATTTCTCTGAGAACGACCTCCTCCTTCGCAAGTTAGACCACGAGTTTTAGAGAAGTGATTAGCAGAACGTTGGCTAGTACCAAAACTCGGTTACAGCCAATGGCTTACTCAGAGAAGCCTACTCGGTTGTAATTACGAAGGTCGGTAAGATCGGGATATTCCGATTTAGCTAGGTTATCCCAGACTCTCACACAAGTTAGACACCGATGTTCCGGAAATGACTAGTGGAACGCTAGTTGGCCGTATCCTCAGCTAACGCACTGGCGGTGAAAGGACTGACAGGTTTGAAGCTAAGGGTGGAGAAAGCTTCCTTTTCGAGGACCGTAGTGAGATCACCCCAATCTTAGGTTGCGGTCGTAGTCGACCCTCTCGGTACCCATGGCGTCTGGACTATGTACTGACTTAACCCTAATGTCAATCGCGCCAGTAAAGTTTCTTCTATGTCAGGAAGCTGAACTCCGAAGCACAAGGTATGTACCTAACCTCAAAGGGTGTCTTTTTTTGTGGGTTTTTTGGGCGAATAGTATATAATATAATAGTTGGCGTCCCGAGGGTCCAGAACTATAGATTGACACGTAGTATGTTAATTGTGGTTCCGTAGATTACAGAAGCGTCCCAGATATATGAAGTGTTGGTAGGGGCTAGTTAGTGAGTCGAAATACTGAAGTCGTTTCGATATATTTATATATATAATATATATGATAAAGAGAATACGATTCTTGCGGAGAAAGGTATATAACAACAAGTAGGAAAATAATGGGCAAAATCCGCAAAAGAGGAGGAAAGTGGATTCGAGCAGAAAATAGGATAGGTAACCCGAGCGATACATATTTCTGCTGGTTGGCTCATCATCAGGCCCGAAATGAATGCACATATGAAACTACAAAAGTGGATACATATGCCCACACATCCGGATACGGGTGTAACTTGAGGAGGAACGAAGTTGGAGGGAAAAAAAAACGCCACACGAAGTCCACAACAAGAGCCAACCTACACATTGTAGTATAAAATGGCTATCGAATTTTCAACCACCACCACGCGGCCGGTTATAGCCCTTCAACTTCGTTCCTCAGGTTACACCCGTATCCGGATGTGTGGGCATGTGTATCCACTTTTGTAGTTTCATATGTGCATTCATTTCGGGCCTGATGAAGCCAACCAGCAGAAATACGTATCGCTTGGGTTACCTATCCTATTTTCTGCTCGAATCCACTTCCTCCTTTTTGCGGATTTTTGCCCCATTATTTTCCTACTTGTTGTTATATATATATATATATATATATATATATATATATTCAAAATTAGTTATTGCGATTTAGTTTATCTTCCATTTCTTGACTCAATATCTCTAGCACGTCTCCAAAAAATCCAAAACTCATTTTGTAGGTTGATCAATAATTTGAAAAAATATGATTATATCAGCCCTTTTTCAATGACATGAAGTGTTTGAGAATAAATGAACTGTGTGAGCTACACCTAGCTACTTACACCCACAGGCTTTTACTGTCATCCATTCCGCCATTTTTGAGAAATAAGCTGATATCTAGAAGCAATATCCATTCTAGGGGCATTCGATTCAGTGAAACACTCACAATGCCCCTCCACGGGACATCATTCTTTCGTAAATGCTTCACCTACAACGCAATTATTTTTACAATGCTCTACCTCGATCCACAAAATTGCTATCATATGATGAATTTAAAAGACATATGAAGAAATTTATTTTGAATAGTATATAAATTAGTTGATAAAATTTATCTGTCACCTCACACAAAAATATTTCCAATATTGTTTTGTATGACTGTTACAATTTTATACTTTTAAATCAGGAAATGTTGAATAGCCTTCACTTATATATGTTATATACCATATTTTTTATACATCTACATTTGTAATCTTCTAAGTTATCAAATGTATTTATGTTTTTTGTATTGTTTTTTCAGTTTTCTTTTTTTTTGGGGTTAAGTGGCAGAGTAGCATTATGCTAAACTCCGCCCCCTAAATAAAGACGATTTATTATATTATTATTATATTCTTTTTAAGGTTTGGTAAACACATTCATGAGAACGCTATTAGTTTAGCCTAGTTTAGAAGTACAATCACGTGGCTTGATCTTAGGACTTTCATAATAGCTTTGGGCTTCAAAAAGTAAGTAGGGAGGCAGATCTTGACTACAGTGTGCTTACTTTCCTAGGGAGGAGATTGAAATCCAAGCGAGAACGAGGCAAACAGATCTTGAAGTAGACGCAGGTAAAATAAACGCCTGGTTTTATTTTTCACTTGCACATACCCATATATTGCTGTAAACTGTTCATCGCTTTGGGCTTATCGCATCGCACCATTATCGCTTGCTAGCTTGACCGCATACTGCTTACGCTTTATACGTCTGTTTTTAACGCTTTTGATTCCGTTCAACCCCGAGCCAGCCGATTTCCATCCTTCTTCGCTTTATTGCCAGGGCAGACATATTCAGATAGGGGATTATCTCATCGGTAAATATAACATAAAGCTAAAGATATCCCGGCCGTGCATGAAGTGTACATATTTGCGGTTAATATACTACGAGTAGTTTGTGCTATAAGTCTGAAGTAAGAGATGCGAATTTTCGAAGCACCTGATTATGGTTACGCGAATACGCAGCTTATAATTGGCACAAGTTGCCCTATATGTCTGTGCTTTGCGAGCCAACAAATGAAACCAAATAATGTCGGATATAATTTTTATTAAATTTTCGGCCACCTCTATGGTCTTTCCAAAGATCATCAAAACCGACAATGATAATATATTTTACTGTAATAATTGATAAGACATTCAGTCTAACTTGTCTTGTTTTTTCTTGCGGCAAGCAAAATATCTAGACTTATCAGCAAGTCCACCACTGGTGATGTATTAAATTGCCCGTTCTCGCTCAGCAAAATCCAAGATCAGCACGCTTATTGCGTGAATGCAAAATGACAGCGACGGCGATTATCAGATAAAATCTGACACTAGTTTACCCCTCCAATTCTACTGCGTACTAGCTACCATTCGCTTGTAGTAGCTGTGTATGTTTCTTGAACGTCAAGTATGTGCTGTAGACGTGATGTGTTTGGCTTAATATAAAATTCGCTTTAGAAATGACAGTATCGGAGGGCATTCATAGCTTCTATTGCTTAAGCTGTACGTTCTATGCTACAGTCATTCCTCCATAGGTGGCGCTCACCGCGGGCAAGCGATACGTCGGCTACCCGACTGGCTAGTATCTAGTGCAAACTGTGGAGATCAAATCGGTATGTTAGAATTCTTTTATACGATGCGGGTGCGTTTGTGAATAGTGAGATACGCATCCTCCTATATTACCTTCAGAATTTATGATTCCTTAGTTGGATAATAACAAGTATATACATGGCAGTTGAACTGAAGAATGACATCAAGTTGGATCGATTTATCTCGAAGAACCCAGCAGCTGTGAATACTGGTGGGTCAGTTGTGAATTGCTCCACTAGAAGTTTCAACTCCTTCTTATCTTCATTCGTGTAAACAGCACTTTGCTCCAAGTTGTAGCATGTCTTAAATATTTTCCGAAATTCAGTCTTTGTTGTATCACAACAAAATGTTATCACGAAGGGGCCCATCTGTAAGAAACAACCGCCTATATCACGTGTTACGGAAAGCAATCCTCAATAATTAGTACAAAAAATCTGCTCAAAAGTAAAGCTGAGTGGTGAAAGTTTTCTAATGGAGTTTTTGTGTATAAACCTCAGAATTTTCTTTGTCCATGGTGGTGGGGTTTAAGGTTGTGAGAAAGTTTTAACACGAATGCGTTGAAGAATCTCAATAGATATTTGTAACATAACCTCGAAATAGAGCGCTGACCCGGAACAGTAGAAAACTATGAAAATCGAGGAGGCCATAAAGGCTTCCTACAATTGTAGGAACGACTGACGATACGGCCCTTGGTGCATCGGTCACATTTTCGACAAACATTTCCTTTGAACATATGGGCTCGCGTGATAGACGGTATGCTCGTTAGACATTTTATTTTCCCGAATAGGCTGGTCGGCAAGAACGTCAAACAGTACTTATAAGTGACAGAAACGTATCTACTTGAAAATTCACTGCGAATGACTTTTTCATTATTTTTTTTTTTTAATATTTGTCACATATTAGCTTTCTCATTTCAAGCGTAGTTTTTTCCCGACAAGAATGTCCTAAATTACAGCATGTATTTTCTTATGTCTTTGAAATATTTTATTTGCATATGAAATCCACCTAAATTGATGAAGATATTATCAAATTTGTTACTCCTTTCGATAACTTGCTTAGCAATGCAAAAAGTTTCGTTAACAACGAAGAGCGAAGCTAGTAATGCATTTATCGGGAAGGAATACTCGATTATGGTCGAGTTGACATCTCCAGCGGAAGCTCTAGCGAGGATTTGGATAATGAATATTGAACCTTACAATATGTTGAATAAACATTGGTAGTTAGATAATAAATTCAGCAAAGACTTCACCAAAGTTATGCTCAAGAAACGAACAATTAACATCACGATTGACCTTAACTATTGCATTAAACAGTAGCACTAGTTTGGAAGCACATACATTGTACTGTAAGTGTAAGTCATTATCTTGCTAAGGACTCAGCACAGAACTATAAAAAAGTTGTTTGTATTTTTCGATGTGTTGGAGAAACTGAAAAGCTCTGTATAATATTTCTCTCGATATCGTTGGATCGACATGTGGTATATACCTTTGTCCTGCCTTTGATTTCAATTCACGTATCTTTTTTTTATCGTTAAAATCTGTGTTTTTGAGAAACATGTCCATGAGGTGAGAAGTAAAATTTAATAATATGAGAAAATTAAATACTTTGGTATAATGCCTTATATCTTGATAGTCAGGGATCTTATAGACTTTGGATCCACGTATAGAATCTGAGCATTCTTTTCATTCCCTGAACTATAATGGATGATTCATTCTTACTTCCAAAGTAACAAGAGCCAAAACAATAAGCACTAGGGGATTCTATTTATTATGAAATAAAAAACCATTCATAACATTTTTTTTTCGAAGATTATTACTTCCTTGGCGTATTCGAGTATTTTGAGTAGTAGGTACTTATATGTTTGGAAAATACCGCGCGTAATCCTGGTTTGTATTTTCTCATTGGTACCTGGTTTATCGTTGTAGACTCTGGACTTTACGTAACCCCAGACAAAAAAGTCTAGAGGTCGCCAATTTATTGCGCTGGATCTAGATATAACTGCTCACCTTGTCTCAATAAAGCCGTAGATTTATGGGCTGTGTGGCAGGAACCATACATTTCTGCTCGGTTAAAATGATATAACTTACAAGAATCATAAGACAAACAAAAACAAGAAATATGTCATTTAAGTTCATTAGAAAACAAATCAGATGATTTTATGTTGATTAATGGAAAATATGGAAAAGTTAGTGGTGCATAGAATTACAGCTCCACCAAATTCTCAATAAATTTAGAGCCTGCAACCTCGAACAGTTTGGTCAATAGCAGCTTAGGCTAGGTTTTTTGTGAGTGGGTCCATCACGATCCTCCACTGCGACTCATTGGTCTATTGTGGGTCATACTTATTTATATTTATTGTAGTAATTCCGACATCCTAAGAAAGTCGATCAGCTAATTTCAAGAAGTATGTTTCAGGTCTTCTACTACTTCAGTCTGCTTATGTAATGACGCAATTTCCAAGGTCGGTCAATAGTGTGACCGCGGTACGTTTCACCTAATTAAAAAATGTATTGACTCAACTGATCGTTAAGATGAAAGTGTAGGGGATCTATAGTTATGCACTACCCACTTTACATACATTCCATCAATCAATATCAAATCATCTGATTTGTTCTAAAATAAACCTAAATAAGCTCCATATTTGTATTTTAGTCTGTTTCACCACTCCTGTAAGTTATATGAACCACTCAAAAAAGAAAAACAAAATTTGGAGCTGTATAAGTTATACTTTTCAGTTTATTATTGTACTAGATCAAGACAACTGATGCGTTCTGTCAAATAATGCTTGCAAATATTACCCGGTAAACCTTACAAAGATGCTTCACTTACCAGACTATGAAACACTGATACTGATGCTACAAGTGTCCACGTAACGCCTGCAATTCTTTCATCATCGTTATGCAACATCTTGAACCCAATAACGTACAGTAGGTTGAGAAAACATGCCAGAAAAGTCAGAAGTATCTGCCAAGAATAAAATCCACTAAACTGACGTATGAAATCATGCAGCTCGTTGTAGAAATTTGTAACCTTTCTCAGTTGCTTGGCTTTGACTTCGCCAGCCATTAGACTTTTGTTCACCAGTCTTGCTTTTTCTTTTACTATTAATACTAGCACGCAGATGACGTCATAGTGTAGTGCTTGAACAATAGTTGTGAAGGTCACTTTTGTGAATAATATGATATTCCACAGATCTTCATTGGATTGTAGGATCAACAGCATAGAGAACAGTATACACTGTAGGATTACAATCAGATAGGGGCTTGTATTCTCAGTGATAGGCCAATCTTTTCCTAAGTTATCCAGTCTTTTCCAGAATGTCTTCCACTCCACTGGATTCCAAACTACATTCACTACTGACAACATAGCTGTTACAAAGATGTTTAGGTGAAGCATCATTATCACGGAATAAGCAACTGATTTGTCGTGTTTTAGAGTCATTTGGATGTGAATTGAATGTGTCAAGAAGGTACAGTGAACAAATAATACGAACCATCCATAGAACCTGCTCCACCTTTTCGAAATTGTGCTTTTTTCGCGGAGATCAAAGAATGGAGCAACCCCGAAAAGTGATGCGACATGAAATACAGCATCATACATTATTGTAGGTGTTTCGAAACTAGTTTTAAAGACAATACAAAGTCGACAGAAAAAATTCAATTATCTTAAAAGCATTATTATTTAAATTGGCTCGTCATGTTCTCTAGCAGCAATTGGACATATAACGGAGTACGATTATATTGTATATCGCTATGTTAAGATAGATTAAAAGTGTGTTTGCCCTATAAGGTCATTCAATTTTGTATCACTTTATATATTAAATATGTGAAGCTACTATAAAGCAATTAAAAGTATCTTGGTAATCCGGTTTTAACTGCCTAATAGACTACCGTTCAAAGCTTTGAAAATGTGGTGACCCTAAAAAATCGGAACAGAACAAAATTATCGAAGATTTCTCACTAGATGTCTAAAGAATGCAGTTTTTTAAGTTTGCGACAAAATCGATCAACGTAGCGTGACTTAACGATAGGTCGTAATTACAAGGATACGTTCTTAACTCAAATTTATGTAAACATGTGGTATAAAAGTCCGGTTTCCAAGTTTTTAAAAGTATATGATTTCTCATTAACATCTCAAAGATCTTTGCGCCGATTTTGTTGAATTTTGGCACTGTTTTTCATTACAATGAGACGCTAAGTTAGCACAAACTAGAAGATAATTATGAATTTCAGTGGTAACTCAAGAAACAGTCTCACAAATAATATTGACTAAAAACTAAATTTGTACAGATATACTCTACAGTACATATGAAAAATGCATTAATCAACATCTATAAAATTTATCTATTGAGGAGGTAAAAAAAAGGTGGGATTTTGTATGAACCTTTTCATTCTTCGAATTGCTTTTCCTGGAACTTTGTACAGATACTCTAAAATCCATTTGGCTCCTGAAATCCCATCCTGTGGTTTTCATGTTTATACGACTCCATCGCCTGGTCTAATCAAAGCTACATATACCGGGTGTTTCAAATTCGACTCTCACCATTGGGTTCTCGAAAACGGTAAGAGATACGAAGTCAGTGGAATAAGGGCAAAGTTGCGCACTTAAGTTACCGAGGAAATGTCACTTAAAGTATTTTCGGGGGACGAAAGAAACAGAATTTTCCCAAAATCCCTTTTATTTTTTCCTGCTCTAATTTGAAATGCGATTTTACATTCAAAGGTTTATTGACATTGCCATTTATTCGCTTCTATAAGATCGCATAATTAGAATTATAACATGGCGTTTTGTCCTTCTTCCTCAGTCATCAACTTTATTTTTGCTTATAGGCGCCATATTGGAATTTTGCACAAGTTTTTAATTCAGATACCAAAAATGTATTATGTGTCATACATTGATATTGCGAGACGTTAGTTACTTGAAAAAATAGAATTTCACAAGCATGCCTTGAAGTTGTCAGATAGTCATTTGTTTCATAATACCATCTACCAAGCATTCCTCTAGTTTCTATGTACTATGCATATGTGAAAATTCCCTTTTTTCGATTTTCATGATGTTATATTAAATAGATCATGACATGGCTTGAACTTCAAATGTGTAAAAAAGTAATATTCCTGGTGTTGGTCTTAGCTCATCGAATAAAGGCCAACATAATACTCAAACTTCATATTATACAAAGGTAGGGTAGTACCGAAAACATTGAAAACAGTATTACTTAATGTAACTGATAGAAACATAGTAGTGTGAATAAAAGCCTCGTCGATGTTGTAGCTTCCTAAACACAATCAATATCCGCCATATCTAACCCGAGGCACACATTAAAATGCTATTATAAATGCCAATGTAATATAACATTTTTAGAATCAGAACTAAAAGGTCTATTTACCTATGCAAACATCAAGTATGTCGCCTATAAGAAGAAATAAATTTGATGGCTGACGACAAGAGACGAAACGTCATATTGAAATTCTAATTATGTCATCTTTTGGAGGAGATAAGATAATGCACCATCTCATCGATCGACGCTTGTGTCCAATTTTTTGTCAGAAATAGCATTTTAACCATATTCTCCTGATACGGCACCGTGTGACTATTTTCTCTTCGGTAAACTACATTTTGCCATGAAGTGACAGCGTTATGCCGACGTAGAGGCCATTCAAAAGGCGTCTACCATTTCAATGAGATAAAATCATCATTCGAAAATTTTTTGGTTCATGCAAATCGCTGTCTCTGAAGACCATTTTGGGTAAAATCAATTCGATTTTCCTAAGCCAAAACTGTTTGTTTATTTTTTTCTTTGTCCTGCTTACTCTGCGTCAGACCTTGTACAGCATAAGCAGGGGCGTTTCGCAAAACTGATGAACACAACTGATCAAAGTGCTCGAGGTTACGCTTGCTTTTGACAAGTGATTATCATCTCATCTAATCATCACAAAACATCAAGATAGTATCAAGGACGTGACACAAAATTCCTTATCATGTAGCGCTTCTATCAGCCATCAGCGAAGTAGGCGTTTGCTCACTTTTAGCGTAATATTATTTAGAATAGGTTCTAAAAAATTTAGCACTCAACTTGTTCGTACAAAATTATGTACTAAATGCTATCTGACACTATCCTTAATTTTTTTCGAAATTAAGTGTACTAAATTTAGCACAAAATTTCGTATCATGACAGACGGCCTTTAGAGAGCGCGTGCTCAGATATGACAAATTGTTGGAAATGCCACAGCATCGTACGGTATATTTACTCGCTGTTTCAGTTATAATTGTCTCAACTTGTACAATGTTTTACTTGATTCATTTAAAAATGTATCTCAAACTACATTTCGTTTTGTATCAAGCAGCATTTATTATCAGAAAAGAATCGTCGTAGTAATAAGTAGTAGTTTGTAATTTAGGTTAATAACTGTCAGTAAAAATTATTTGATATGTTTTTTGAGTCTTATTTTGATATCTTATGTATGTATATATGTTAAACATAGGTAATTACATTGGTTCACCGCGGTAAAAATAATAGCGTTAAGTGGTAGAGTAGCTATTTAGCTAAACTTTGCCTACTACATTGTACTTTAATTGATAAAGACGTTTTATTATTATTATACCCTTAGGGATGATTGTTATTTGAAAAGGCACACATTTCATTATTTTCGTTGTTCAGCAGTTCATTATTTGCACTAAAGAATATTGATACAAAATGTCAAGCAAGTCGATTAAAAAAAATAAATAGAATCATACACATTTCCAATCTCCAAAAATGTTGGATTACGTTATTTCTATCAGATAATATTTATGCAGAGTTTTAAATAATCTGATTTAAAAAATTACAATTTTCAGTCCATTAGTTTCCAAAAACTATTTAGTGCTCAAAAAATCTTATTACATTTATGAAAAAAATCTCTTACTCTGATGATCGATTCAGAACAAATGGGCATGGCTGATTTAAAATTGACATTTCAGTCTTTAAAATCGAATGCTTCAGGAAGTGATGGCATATCTCTGAGGATGCTGGAACTGTGCTTTCCTGTAAATTCATACCACACATATCTTGCATATCGTCAATATAACATATATTTAACAAAGGCGGCATTTCCCGGAACATGGAAGGAGCACTAGTAATAACTCTCGCTAAAATAAATAAACCAGATACATTTTCTGATTTAAGACCAATCAGTATTTTACCCGTATTATCCCAATCACTAGAAAATACAATGTATCTTCAAATTAACGATTATATTAGCTTTCAAAATCTCAAATATTGCCTTCCAAGCAAACATTTAAAGGATTTCGTATTCAAAATGTCTCATTTCTCCGGAGTACTGCCAGGGTCTGTACTTGGGCCACTGTTATTTGTTTTATACATCAGATCTACATGCCGTTGTTAAATATTGCCAGTGTTGAATTTTTCGCCGATGATTCACAAATTAATAATCCTTCCAAAGTTCTAATATCCGAACTGCTGTATCTGAGGTCAATGTTGATTTAAAATTTATCAGTACATACGCAAAGAATCATAATCTTCAGTTGAACCCTTCAAAATCAGAAGTCATTATTTTTTCACCGAAACCATTCAGTGACGCGGAAAGAAATTTCAATATAAATTTAAATGGTGACTCTATTGAGGTAAATGTATCACTCAACAAACTAGGTATCATATATGATGAATGACTCAAATTCATACGGCATGTGAATAATATCAGCATTAATTGTTTTCCCATTCTACGTCAACTTTAACTAAATAAAAACTTTCTTGACTGTCAATCCAAAGAAATTGTGTGCTAAACCCTGATCATGCTTATGACTTATGTTCCAATTTTAGACTCTACTTCTCTCACGCGTCTCCAAAAATTCAAAATTTCTATTGCAGATTGCTCAATAACTTAAGAAAAAGCATATCAAATCTTATTTAAGAGACATGAGATGGTTTAGAGTAAAAGAACTATATGAGTTACACTTAATCACTTATAGATATTTGTTTCGCGAGTTAAATTCCCGAAACCGGAAAATTACTGCCTGCAATGAATCTTGTGGATACTCAGAACTCAAAGGTAGAATATGGAAAGGGACTTACAGGATAAGACGAACCAAGATGCTTTTCATATCCAGTTGGTCTGCTATTCTCCTCAAGTCTGTGGTACACTTTGGTCTCCTGTCGTGAACTGCCAAGTCGTTGACACGAGCCGATGATCCTCGGGGATACCGTGCAGTTAATCCTGTTCGCTGCGCCAGTTAAATTCCCGAAACCGGAAAATTACTTTTTAAAAAGTTTTATTTTGGAGGCAAGTGATTCTTACAAGCAGGAGTACAAGACTGAACTAACTAAATTCAAAAGATAACAATAAAAATGAATAATGTCCATCTTGCAAAATCT